AGGTGAAGAGAGCATGAAAGGCACAAAGCCTGAGCATTATGAAAGTGAGTGCAAGTAGCATGAGGCTGGCTGCCACTACCCCACCAAATGAGCTGTGGTCCAGGAGAAGGCTCTTACTGCAGGGACTTCAGCTCGTCCACTGTCTGCTCCAGCAGCATCTGAAAGGGAAATGTCCTCTTTGAGTTTCCGAGCTGCCAGGGCTCTCCAGAGCTAGCGGCTCTAGGAAGGCATGGCAGAGGCTGCTGCTTCTTTGACCTGCTCCCCTGTACTTTATCTCCAAGGAGATACTATTAAAGGTAAATAGCTTAGAATTTATCTGTACTTTACAGTGCACAGCAAGAATATATCACAAAGCTGTTCCCATTTTCTGCAACATTTTAGGCTGAATGGTAAGGAAAGACAGCAAAGCCTTCTGGAAATTCCAAGAACTGTGTTTGAACTACCAGAGTGCTAAGAGTTCAAAAAGAATAAAATAATAATTACAGAGCATTCCAGAAATTTTGAGCCTAAGACAACCCACTGGTGCTTTACAGAAAATTAAGATCAAGTTCACATCTATAGAATGTACTTGGTTTTATACAGTGTTACCTGGGAATGAGCCCTAATTCATTACTTTATTTGCTGTTGTAGTTTAACCTGGCAGGTAGCTAGACCAACCACACAGCCACTCGCTCATTACCCCTGCTGTGGGATGAGAGAAGAGAATTGGAAAAAAAAATGGTAAAACTCATGCGTTGAGATAAAGACAGTTTAGTATGACAGAAAAGGAAGGGGAAATAATAATAATAATAATAATAACAACAACAACAACAACAACAACAACAACGGAATATACAAACCAAGTGATGCACAGTACAATTGCTCACCACCTGCAGACCTTCGATGCCCAGCTAGTTCCTGAGCTGTGGTCCCAACCCCTGGCCAGCTTCCCCCAAGTTATATACTGAACATGATGTCATATGGTATGGAATATCCCTTTGGCCAGTTTGAATCAGCTCTCTTGGCCATGTCCCCTTCCAGCTTCTTAGGCACCCCTAGCCTCCTCACTGGCAGGACAGTTTGAGAAGCTGAAAAGTCCTTGACTTAGTGTAAACCTTGCCTAGCAACTACCAAACTATCAGTGTGTTATCAACATTATTCTCATCCTAAATGTCATATGGCCAGAACCAGGACACCAAAACACAGCATTATACCAACTACTAGGAACAAATTAACTCTATCCCAGCTGAAACCAGGACATTTGCCCATGTTGAACTCAGCGACTCCTATGCGGGAAAGAAGACCCATCTGCACGCTGACCTACACACACCCTGTTCCCTGCTTTCATGAGCCCAGCCCATTTCCTCAGCCTGCAGAAATGACAAGCATAGGATACATTGTTCAGCATAGCAGTAGCCATAAAGATTTTTAAGACCTAAAAATGATGAAAAAAATGTGAAACCAGGAAAGAAGTCCTCATAGCAATTTTCAGGTCTTGTCCATGCAGTTCATGTGGGAAAAGCACTTATGATTTTCTGTAAAGGGAGCTTTGTCAGCATAATCACTAATCCAAGATTCAAATACAAAATTCTAGGTGTGACTACCATCTTCTTTCTTTCTGGAGGGAAAGGGATATTTTAAAAGAGGAAAAAACCCACCCTCATTTGGTTCAATCACTTTATTTCTCCAACTGTTCAGGAAACTGTTGGGAGTTTTTTTGCTATATTTTTCGCAAAGTTTCACTTTGCAATAAATGAGCAAGTCTAAGAAGGTAAAAGCTTCATGAAACCTTAGGGTTCAACAGAAAAAACCCACAACATCAACCCCCAAACATTTAGCTATATTCAGCAGCTGATAGCTCAGTGCTGGAAGACTTAATTTCCTCTTGTGAGGAGTGGCAGTTCTACAGGCAAGTTTGGTAATTAGGAACCAATGTCACGTTTTTGAAATGTTTCTGAAAACATACGCCTTAGGAAGCAGGATGACAGAGGTTGTAAGTTTACCAGTGAAAAAAGGATGTTGCCTCCATCAACAACATGTCTTACGTGCTTCTAGAAGGCAACAAGGCTCTGTAGGTAAAACTTTTGAACTACCTGAGATGTAAAAGCAAACAGCCTCCTGCAATCTTCCAATCCCTGGATCACACCCTTCATCCTAGCAATGAAGCTTTAGACGCATAATTTTGTCAGCCCTGGTAATCTCTGTCTTTGCCAAATCAGATTCTAATTTTACCACTTGAGGAATATTCCTCAGCGATTACCTGTACGAGACAGAGAACGCAGCAATATGGAACTGGCAAGAATTCTGTAACATGTCAAGACCTGGCCCATGTCATCAAGTGATGACATTTAGTAGATGTTTTGACTGTTCTGTGCATTGCCTCTCGCATCATTTGTTGAAAGACACATTTCCCTACCCCT